AACTAATCTTAGCGTTAACACCTTGGCCCAGCTCCACAAAGGCATCTTAGCAGCTAAGATTATTGTAACTATGAAAGTTGAACATAAGGCTTACAACAGCTGTAGGACTAAGATCACATTATGGAACTGCGACTTGTACTGATATCCAGCTTGGCACAGCTCCACAAAATTATCTTAGCGCTAAGATTATTGTAACTATAATAATTCAACATAGGCTTACAACAATTGTAGCACTAAGATCACTGTATGGAACTGTGTGCTGTACTGACATACATGTCGGAATGCATGGCACTCCCCTTGTGCTCATGCCTGCTGTATACATATAACAGACTTGGTGACTTGCAGCAATCCCAGGATAACGTTAGTGCATCATTTATCATAAAAACAAAATCTGTTATTTCCATAGGTAAAAACACCATCACAGGTTAATAAATATCAGTTAATACTTTCTTAAAAATATATGTCTGATCAACGAAGACCTATGACATCCCAGTACCCACTGTATCTGCGCACCACGTCCAGTCACCTGTACACCTGTACACTTGTACACCTGTGCACTTGTACCATGTCAGCAAAAACCATGATGCTACATTCTGCATGTTTACATGAAATAAGAGCCAGTTCTCAGTGATAACACCTTTCAAAATTGTTCTTTCAAATGCCTGACCTTTACTGACCTTATTTAAAGGATGTTACATACAAAGTCACACAATAATAAGACCCGGGTCCAAAAGTTCATAAAAATATAAATTGTTTGAATCATATTATCTGGACTGTAATTCATATTTATCAAATTTTACAATGTCCAACATTTAAGTTTTGAATATGAATTTTCAGTTTGTGTGCTATATTTGCCAATTAATAAAATATTCTACCATGACTTCAGTAAATACTGGATTGTGATTGGTTAATTAAAGTCATCCTGAGATGTATAATCACGTTATATACCTCTGATTTTCCAACATAGAATGTTTATCTCCTAATTCTCAGATCATGTAAACATGCACCATATGTACTGTAAACAAATTGATATTTTCAAACTAAAACACATTATAACGCATGCAAGGAATCAAAATGTTCCAAACCAAAAACAACTCTCACCATGTGTTATGGAAATAAATGAATGGGTTCAAAATTATGCAACATTACCTCCAAATATTCATCTACAAATTTTTTGCAGTATCGCGCCATGACCTGTGGAAGTTGAACACTCAAATTTGAAATTGTGTTTTGTCAATATACAAGGACCAAATGAGCAGTCACCGTAAGCTCACACAAATGTTGCTCAATCCATAAAGAACACAAACCTTTAACTCAGTGTTCCGGATCAGCTGTCTATTTGGAATCAATTTGGTTCAAAAATACATACCAGGAATTCAAATCATGTATTTGAATAAAAAATTAATGAATATCATTATCATCAAAACAGTAAATAATGATCTTGAAATTTTATTTGCATGACTTCATGAGACAAAAGGTGCTCACTGGTGCTGTACTAAATCTGATTTCTTTATTTCTGAACCAATGATTCTATCAAAACAGATTTCTAGTATTACAGTTTCTGAAAAAACAAACTGCATAAATGAAATGATTGTGTTTTTCTGTGTGTTAAAATTACTATTGCAGAGCATAAAACAATAAAAGAAAGACCCAATGGACTGAGGACTGCCAGTCAGCAATATTACAGTTGTAGCCGAGATCGGTAAGAGGTTGCATGAAAATATGGGGCAATGATCATCTTGTCATGTCCAAGGTCTTGTGCGTGATCACCTGGCTGAATAACTAAAATATTTTGAAACCATCCTGACACAATTTCCAAACATACCAGACTCTTGAGCCCTGCTTAACACCATCGTGACACAGACAGTCTTCCATGCTTAACACCATCATGACACAGACAGTCTTCCTTGCTTAACAACATCATGACACAGTCTTCCTTGCTTAACACCATCATGACACAGACAGTCTTCCTTGCTTAACACCATCATGACACAGTCTTCCTTGCTTAACACCATCATGACACAGACAGTCTTCCTTGCTTAACACCATCATGACACAGACAGTCTTCCTTGCTTAACAACATCATGACACATCATGACACAGACAGTCTTCCTTGCTTAACACCATCATGACACAGATGACACAGTCTTCCTTGCTTAACACCCATCATGACACAGACAGTCTTCCTTGCTTAACAACACCATCATGACCATGATGACACAGACAGTCTTCCTTGCTTAACACCATCATGACACAGACAGTTGTCCTTGCTTAACACCATCATGACACAGACAGTCTTCCTTGCTTAACACCATCATGACACAGACAGTCTTCCCTGCTTAACACCATAACACAGACAGTCTTCCATCATCATGACACAGACAGTCTTCCCTGCTTAACACCATCATGACACAGACAGTCTTCCTTGCTTAACACCATCATGACACAGACAGTCTTCCCTGCTTAACACCATCATGACACAGACAGTCTTCCTGCTTAACACCATCATGACACAGTCTTCCTTGCTTAACACCATCATGACACAGTCTTCCTTGCTTAACACCATCATGACACAGACAGTCTTCCTTGCTTAACACCATCATGACACACAGTCTTCCTTGCTTAACACCATCATGACACAGTCTTCCTTGCTTAACACCACACACAGTCTTCCCTGCTTAACACCATCATGACACACAGTCAGTCTTCCTGCTTAACACCATGATGACACAGACAGTCTTCCTTGCTTAACACATCATCATGACAGTCTTCCTTGCTTAACACCATCTGCTTAACACCATGACACAGACAGTCTTCCTTGCTTAACACCATCATGACACAGACAGTCTTCCTTGCTTAACACCATCATGACACAGACAGTCTTCCTTGCTTAACACCATCATGACACAGACAGTCTTCCTTGCTAAACACCATCGTGACACAGACAGTCTTCCTTGCTTAACACCATCATGACACAAGACAGTCTTCCCTGCTTAACACCATCATGACAGTCTTCCTTGCTTAACACCAGTCTTCCTGCTTAACACATCATCATGACACAGTTTCTTCCCTGCTTAACACCATCATGACACAGTCTTCCTTGCTTAACACCACCATGACACACACAGTCTTCCCTGCTTAACACCATCATGACACACACAGTCTTCCCTACTTAACACCATCATAACACAGACAGTCTACCCTGCTTAACACCATCGTGACACAGACAGTCTTCCCTGCTTAACACCATCATGACACAGATAGTCTTCCTTGCTCAACACCATCGTGACACAGTCTACCCTGCTTAACACCATCGTGACACAGACAGTCTACCCTGCTTAACACCATCATGACACAAACAGTCTTCCTTGCTCAACACCATCATGACACAGATAGTCTTCCCTGCTTAACACCATCATGACAGTCAGTCTTCCTTGCTTAACACCATGATGACACAGACAGTCTTCCTTGCTTAACACCATCATGACACAGATAGTCTTCCCTGCTTAACACCATCATGACACAGACAGTCTTCCTTGCTTAACACCATCATGACACAGACAGTCTTCCTTGCTTAACACCATCATGACACAGATAGTCTTCCTTGCTTAACACCATCATGACACAGACAGTCTTCCTTGCTTAACACCATCATGACACAGACAGTCTTCCTTGCTTAACACCATCATGACACAGACAGTCTTCCCTGCTTAACACCATCATGACACAGACAGTCTTCCTTGCTTAACACCATCATGACACAGACAGTCTTCCTTGCTTAACACCATCATGACACAAACAGTCTTCCTTGCTCAACACCATCATGACACAGACAGTCTTCCCTGGTGGTCACATGTCCAAGACAAGACATGCTCAGCACTGCTTAACACCACCATGACATAGATAGTCTTCCCTGCTTAACACCATCATGACACAGACAGTCTTCCCTGCTTAACACCATCATGACACAGACAGTCTTCCCTGCTTAACACCATCATGACACAGACAGTCTTCCCAGGTGGTCACAAGACAAAGACGTCGTCCAAGACGTCCTTAACTCCTCAGCACTGCTTATATAACACCATCATGACACAGACAGTCTTCCCAGGTGGTCACACGTCCAAGACGTCCTCAGCACTGCTTATATAACACCATCATGACACAGACAGTCTTCCCAGGTGGTCACACGTCCAAGACGTCCTCAGCACTGCTTATATAACGTCAAATAACTAACACAACCTCCTCTAACAAACATACTGCCACTTTTCAAGATTCCAAGATGAATAGTCTTCACCTAAATAGTTCTTCACCTAACTTGTACATTATGACACATATTATCTAAGTTAACACAAAACAACATCATGTCACTTTGACCTTTTGATGACATTTCCAGTAGATTGATTGGAACCAATTCCTGAACTCCTGTGTCTAACTGTAATGTTCCCCTGTTCCCCCATGACAACATGTAAAGACATTTTGAGACTGGGATACATTCGAGGGCAATCATGCAGACAACAATAAACAGGGGCTAATTCAACTCCAAATTGACAATCTGTTAGAAACTATAATTGTTTGAATGCTGTTATCCGTTGACGTTTCTAGTCTGTTAGTAACTGTTTCATGTACTGAATGTGGAAAACATCTTTCAAATGCATTTCATAATGGACCTATGCTTGAGGAAGTCATGCATTTAGTAATGGCAAACCAATGATAGAGAATTGAGGGTGATTGAATTCATTGGCTGACCAAAGGTCACATGATCACATTAACACTATTTGAAAAATAAACACTAAAGTTTAAGAATCGTGCAGGATCAACGAATCATGCGGATGAATGCCACTTGCAAATTATGTGCTGACAATTATAAAACTAAAACAACAAAAGTGAAGTTCAAACAGGGAAATAATCAAAGCGAAACTTAAAACAGCCAAATAAAAAATAATCAATTTCACACTCATGAACAGAGGACATCGAAAGCATGGTGTTACACCGAAACAAACCTGGAGTTTTCGCCGTAGTCTTTGCTGGTGAAAGAAAAGTGACTCGTAAAATTTTGCCTTATGGGTACAAATGTACAAATATTTCAACACCTCTGAAAGCAGTTCTTTAAATAACATAATACACTTCCCTCCATGAATGTGGTGGTTTTTCTCAGTTGCAACCTAAGGGAGATAACTCCATTCCTAAAGATCTAAACTTCCTATCTCTCTACAACCTCTTGTTTAATAACAATCATGTTGTTCCACTGGGTCTCTACTGGTTTCTGTCGTATGCAAGTCCCTCTCATAGGCACTCGAGGTATCCTAGCAAGTATAAATAGATGTAAAGAATATGTCATCACATACACCCAACAAATTGCAGCTAATGGCAACAGAACTTGCTACACTGTGCTTGTCGTTGTATGATATGATATGACAATGGTGACATTTTGATGACATTACCTTGAGTTTTGAGATGCCCTCTTGCGTGGATTCTGGGCCATTTAGCTCCTTCACCAGTGTGGACCCAAGGTACTACAAACACAAGATGACATCATTAGTCCAAATATACAGCTACGACGTAGCGAAACGACACACCTACTTAATACAAGCAGTAGCTCGTACATTAAATACCATTTCTTATTGTAGTAGGTCATGGAATTATCCCACAGATGACATCCTAACCTTGTCAGGTGCTGATGTGGTAACCACAAGGACATGTCGTCCCACCAGAAGGTCTGTGGTTCGAATCCCAACAAGCGACTCAGAAATTTTATAGCTGGTGCATATGCAGCGGTCATGGCTTATTTTGATGAAACTTTATCTATTGTACAGGGGTGGAAATAACCCATTGCCCGACGTCGGGCAAGCAAATTTGTATATCACACTGTACCGGTGTCCAGTAATATTCCAATGTTAATAATGTTGTTTATTTAAAAAATCAACAAGAAAATGGCCGGTATAGTGCAAAAATTATCAGGGCAAGTGATTTTACATGTGCCACTGTACCGGTGTACACTAGCAATTTTAAAGTTATTTCCGTCCCTGATTGTACTATATGTAGCTTGACAGATTGTTCTTTACTCCTATAGTTTGTAATGGATTTCTAGTCTTTGTTTGAACGGTGACATTCATTTAGCTCAAGTAGTGTTGACACCCACCTGAGCAGTGTAGTTGCAGCATCCCTTGATGAGGATCTCGGGGCGGTGGCGCCACTGTCGGACTGACCCCGTGGTGTGGGCCAGGTGGGGTGGGCGGATATGTATTGTGCTGTCACGGATATGCTGGCCCTGGAACACACATACTCACATAGCAGTTACCTGATCACTAGTTTTGTTTAACTGTTTAAGGCTGGAGTAATATTTCTGCCATATTTCTGTCAATAATCGAGTCAGACAATCCAGTGATTGACATTATGATCATTGATCTATGCAAATGGAAAACGATGACATTCATCAACCAAATCTGTAGCCTCACCACCCCATCCCATTAGTCGCCTCCTACGACAAGCTTGGGCCGCTGAAGGCTAATTTTAACCTGGATCTTCACCAATAACCTGATCATAAAAGGATACACTCCCACGTGGTAGGTAGTCCTATTACATAAACATGCAAGATATTAAGTTCAACTTTGTCAGCTAGTTCATACTTACTGATTCATATCAATTCAACAATTTCACTCATTACAGTAATTTTATGTCCAGGACAAGACAAGTCATAGCTACAAAGCCAAGGGTGAGTTATTGACAAGGGTCATTTGTTTCTTGAGGAACATGTCACATAGGAATATTCCAGCAATATCAAGACTGTCTGTCAACAAGCAAGTCTGCACCAGACAATCCAGTGATCAACAGCATGAGCATCAAACTACACAATTTGGAAACGATGCTATGCTTCGTCAACGAGCCTCCCACCTCATCCCATAAATCGCCTCTTAGGACAAGCATGGGTTGCTCAAGATCAAGTCTAACCAAGATCTCCATGGGGTCATTTGGGAAGTGATGGGGGACCACATGAGAACAGATGGACAGCTATTCCTTACTTGACTGAGACCATCATTGCCAGTTCCGAACATGAGCAAAGGATTCTGGGAAGGTTCTGGCACCTCAGGGTCGTCAACTGCCGTTGACTTGACTCCAGTATAGTCTTTATAGAGATCAATGTGATCAAATGGAGATATGACCTCCACACCTTGTGTCAAGGTCTTCTTGATGATATTCTGGAACAGAGAGTCAACCAGTGAACACAAACACATAGCATACAGATAGAAATGTCATGGCACTTAGAAAGATGGTGTGCTCACTGGAATAAAAGTGCACTAGGCAGAAAGATAATTTTGATCTATCATAAATATTGATGAACATTTCTTCAAGGCTGGACAATAATTACTAGTAGTTATTAGGTTAACATCCTTTCTTTTCACTTAGATTGACCATAACTTTTAAACCCACACATAATGTATTGAATTTCATTTACATTCACATTGTCAGTGAATTGAGGTAGTCTATTCATGTTCTCCCAAGACCCGGTTCGATTCCCCACATGGGCACAATGTGTTAGTCTTGTTTTATCTATGGGTTTCATTTACATTCATATTGTCAGTAAAGCTAATCTATGGACTATTTTGTTCATAGCTGTCAAAACATTCTAAATGAAATTCAGTACACATCTTTTGAGCTTGTAGGTGGAAAGATGCATGCTCAGGTATATAAAATATAAGAAAAACTGTGTTTTTCTTTGTATGAGTTCACTGGTGTGTGACCATTTATAGAATGAGGGCTAAACATTGCTTACACATCATCATTCTAAATTGTGGTAAGAAAATTCCTTGTTCAGACCATGTCTGTCCTGTGACCATGTTTTAGTCTGTCACAGATCCTGTCCAATAATGTGATCAAAACACAGCAATGAGCACTAAGAATATTTATGGGATGATAACAATTGCGTTTTTACAAGCTCAATTCACAATCAAAATGCATCCAGGGGAGAAAAGTTATGTCAGAAGCTTGATGGAAGATATACGTTTTGAGAGCAGTTCTTAAAGTGGAATTTTCAAGATGTAAGAAGTTCAAGTGGAGGACCTTTCCACTGACATGATGCTGTATAGGATATCATCTGTGCCAATAGATAACAAGTTTGACTTTTGGTACAAGAAACAGATACTGGGACTCTGGATGAAGAGATATGGATGGGACGTACGGCGGGAGAAGGTCCGACAAGTATGGTGGAGCAGTTTGTGAGTGACATTTAGAGACATAGCTGAACAGGAAGCCACGGAAGCTCCTTCAGGGTGGGAGTGGTGCTTGTATTTAGAGGTCAGAGAAACGAGATGGGCAGCTTTGGGGACATGGTCCTGAACAGCATGGAGAAGGAACTTACGGGACTACTGGATGAGTTGATCCGCTCTGGTGCAGGTCGGTCTCCTAATGAGGCTAGTATTCGTTTCCTATGCCCTATAGATGTTATATCTAATACCTGGAACATAAAACAACATTATTTATTATATATGCCACACACAAATATAGTACCTTAGATTGTAGATACATCTGTGATGATCTGGTCCCCCTCTGAACCCCTAGTTGTCACATTGATGAATGTCATATGAGAGTTAGGTTGTTCTGAGATTACTTCATGTCATGTTGTACGATGGATCACTTAGCAACATTCTAGCAGTATGACTGGACTGTAAATCATCTGGTGTTGACAATCCAGTGACTGATATCTCGTGTATCTTGCGACTATCCACGCCATCAGGGAATACATCTGATGACCATGCCAAGGAATTCACCTCTTATAACCAGCTCTGGTTTGTGTGATTGCATGTTCAGGAGTTCCAGGAGTTTTCAAGAACATTTCATTTAATGGAGAAGTGACGTATTAAATCAGACGATCCCAATTGTGTCAAGAGTGAGTCTACTGGGTTATCATCTTACAAATGCTATGGCTGTGAAGGAATTGATGCATACATAAAATCCCTACAACAGCATCATACTTACACTTGTTAATTCTAACTCCCATACTTTGACAACACGCTCCATGGTGTTGTATTTATGGTTATTAAATGTATCTAAGTACTGTTCCAGCCGAAGAGACTTCAACCATTCTTCAACTGAAGGGGGAAGCTTGGCTTGATCTAAAATAGAGAGATAGAATTAAGCACAAGTGAATATACAGATACATGACCTCTACCGCCCAACATCTCCATTTGTTTGACAAGTTAAGAGGAGTTATCTCCATTTGTTCAAATATTTCTCTGTTCAAATATAGCTACAGTTCATGGACTTATAAACACTATACCATATGGGGAATTTAACCCAGACCTCTGACATTTCAAATATAAATGAACAATTAATTCAATCACATATCAATCAATACCACATAATAATTCATCCTGATTTGACACATTGACTGTAACATATACATGAGGCAAGATACATGCTTACAGAGAGTGAGTGAGTGAGTGAGTTTAGTTTTACGCCACACTCAGCAATATTCCAGCTATATGGCCGCGGTCTGGACCAGACAATCCAGTGATCAACATCATGAGCATCATCCTATGCAATTGGGATAAGATGACATGTGTCAACCAAGTCAGGGAGCCTGACCGCCCAATCCTAGTCGCCTCTTACGACAAGCATGAATTACTGAAGATCAATTCGAACCCAGATCTTCATGGGTCTGCAGTGCTATACATGAGCCAGGGTGATGATCTTACCTCTGAGGGACCTACCTATTGGTTCTAGTTTAGGTAAGGAATTGGCAGCCTTCAGCAGCTTGGTCCGGTGCTCCGTGTCTGTGATGCCGATGCTCTCCAAGTCCTGCTCTTCCATGACATTGCCACCCTGGAAGACCGAGGCTCGTTTGTACAAACACAACACTTCCTACTCAAGTACACAGCATCAAGTAATAAATCACCACAGAATACTGGGGAAGCTACTTTTCCTTTTGCTGCTGTTGCTGCCGCTACCACTACTCCTCAGCAATATTCCAGCTTTGTGGCAGTGGTCTGTAAATATTTGAGTCTGGACCAGACAATCCAGTGAACAACAGCATGAGCATTGATCTACGCAAATGGGATGTGTCAACCAAGCCTGAACACCCAATCTCCTTAGTTGCCTCTTACAACACTCCTGGGTTGCTGAAGATGGGTCTACTACTACTGGAACTACTATATATAACTGTTACTGCTATAATCCTAACAACTGCCACTACTATAGATAAGCACAAACTTTATGGATGAGTCTAAGATGCCTAGCGGTTAGAACAATAAAAAAAAAACAACACTTTCAGACAATAAAGGTATAGTTTTTGGATGACGTAACAATTGAATGACGTTATCCCGTCACTGCGCCATTCTAGTGTGCCCCCTCGTAATCGAACCATTTTACATTACGTCACAATGTAAGCGACGTCACGATGCATGTCAGTTGTCATCGCCTCGTACGGCCTCCTACAGTAAACTACTCCGTTGCATCCCGAACTATTATAACGTTAAAGCACTCGTACGCAAGCGTCCTCGTCCTTTAACTATAATAGTTCAGGGCGAAAGTGTGTTTTTTTACACTATACATGGTGGTAGAGCGAACTGTATTTCTTAAATATAAACAGGTAATATTGACATCTATTCACCAGCCTACCATCATATATAGACAGGTAATATTGACATCTATTCACCAGCCTACCATCATATATAGACAGGTAATATTGACATCTATTCACCAGCCTACCATCATATATAGACAGGTAATATTGACATCTATTCACCAGCCTACCATCATATATAGACAGGTAATATTGACATCTATTCACCAGCCTACCATCATATATCTACAGACAGGTAATATTGACATCTATTCACCAGCCTACCATCATATATAGACAGGTAATATTGACATCTATTCACCAGCCTACCATCATATATAGACAGGTAATATTGACATCTATTCACCAGCCTACCATCATATATCTACAGACAGGTAATATTGACATCTATTCACCAGCCTACCATCATATATAGACAGGTAATATTGACATCTATTCACCAGCCTACCATCATATATAGACAGGTAATATTGACATCTATTCACCAGCCTACCATCATATATAAACAGGTAATATTGACATCTATTCACCAGCCTACCATCATATATAAACAGGTAATATTGATGTATATTCACATCACCCAAATGAAGAAGTTGTTCATCCATAAAGTTTGTCCTTATCTGATTGACCAACTTCTAAATATGCCACTCTCAGAAGTTACCACTACTTCTACTACCGCTACTACTCACGAGGAAATCTGTATCATCAAAGCCATTAGCAACAAGAGTGTTTTCATACTGTCCAAGGCCCAGCATCTCAAGCCATTCCCCAACACTCTGTATCTTGTTGGAGGCTGGAACACGTCACATTTCACATATGACATCACACATTTCCAGTATGATACACTTAACACATGTCAAGCAACTCACACATACATGTCACGCATTAAATTATTCTATTACATACACGATTGTCACATTAAACAGTATCTTCCACATGTTTTTTGTTTTATTAAACAGATGTTAAATTTAATAAATATTGAAATATAAGGAAACTTTATATAATGGTTACTACTTTCTGGGTATTTAAAATCTAAGGTCATGTTGACATATAACACAGACAGACAAAGACCTCTCAAAAGACGGAGTACACTATTGGTATAGAGAACAGACAAGTGTGACATGCTAATTTCAGTTGTGAGATTATAATATCCCATATACATTTAACACATCATCTTTAACACATCATCTATGAATGAATGAATGAATGAATGAATGAATGAATGAATGAATGAATGAATGAATGAATGAATGAATGAATGAATGAATGAATGAATGAAGCATGGTCTGATTCAGAATTTCTGAGCATGCAGCCTGTGGTGGCCATGTTGATACTACTGTGATATTTTCCTAGAGTTATCCTTTGAAAGGTCTTACATATAATAACTGAAGAAAATAAACTGAAAAAACACCCAAATAAATGACACAAGTGTACAAACATACTTTCATCCTCATAATCCGACACTATTCCAGGGGACAGGAAAACAGTTTGATTAGTACAAAACATTCTAGATATGTAAATTAGTCAACTTAGAAGTTAGTGTTTCCCCAAATATCTTGATGTAAGAGAACATATAATATGTATACATCATGTAATTATTACTGAACAATGCTTCCATATTCTGTTTCATCTATTTATTTTTATATGTTCAGAATGTTTCCAGGATTATCAAATTTGAATTATAGCATGTGTTTGTTATGGAGACCCACTACACCATCTGAGCATATAACGACAACAATGTTCCTTGAAGAAGAAACATTTCACTTCAGAAACTAACATGCATCTAGACAGGCTACACAATAGGCAACATGATGCTTGTATTCTGATCAGTAACAGAAAATACTCTATAGTGATCATACTGTATTGAGTTTACCAATCACCTTGGAAAATTGTTTTGGCTAATAAGTCCCTTGAGACGAGTACTGCGAGTTCTTCTGTTCAATTCATTTATAAAATGTTGAATATTTAATCCATAAGGATAACAATAACTTGAAACGAACGAAAATATTTCCTTCATCTCCAAATATTCTTTGACAGCCTTACTGATAACTCGATCTATTTTCTGTGCCCATAACCAATCAGAACTCCTGAGCATCATAAACAATACTTAAAGGAGTGATATATACATTTATTACCCTCTTTTATTTCAGCTTGTGAATAATTTTATTATTACTTAATAGCATGATGTATTTTTGTTTTTAATTTCTATGTGATGTTTCCCTACCTAAATGTGTTATATATAAGATAAAGGACAAATTAGCACACACCATGAAGACAATAAGTGACACAAGTCAAACCAAGAGTAAACACACCTTCCACCATGACAACATGCTTGAATCATGCACATAATGATGTATGGAAATGGAGTAATGAACATACGTTTCTGAGATTTGGGCGCAAGGTGAGTACCTGCCAATAACCGTGCAAAGTCCGCCTCATACTCGCGTACAAACACAGACTCTCGAGCCATGCCCACCCCGAACTCAGCTAACGTGGCGGCGATCTAGAACAGCACAAGGCGGGTCAAGAGAGAGGGGAGCATGTTGGGAAAGAGAAACAAGAGATTAAGGGAAAGACAAGAGAAAGAGTTAGTGCTGTGTCTCTCTCTTCTATAAACCTGTCTTACATCTTGCGCTGGGCAGTCATATTCACCCCCAGATAAAGATTGATACCAGTAAAGGTCTTTTTTTCGTGCACTAAACACCCCAGTAGGCAATAAGTCAGATCAAGTCCTTCACACCCAAGTCATATTCTGAAATAATGTCAGATAGAACATTTAGATAATTTGTCTATCAAAGGACATTATGGCTGATTTGTCTAGTCACCTGTAACAGGTCATTTCCTTTTGGTTCAATATTTTCTTCTCTTTTTGGCCAATTTTGGGAGGGTTTGCTGCTGCAGTCTTTGAACAGTTTCTCCTGAACATAACAGGAAAACATTCATCCCGAAAATGATTTAACCATCATGATTTTTACATGGCCAAATAAAATTTAACACAGAAATGAAATTTGACACCACATTATTTTAGTGTCAAACTTCAAGCTTTTGTTTATTTACATCATAAAAGGAGGAAAATGCTAATTTTAAGGAAATGAGAATTTTATTGATGCTTCAAGTTTTCTTAAAGTCAGAGTTACCCCCCTTTAACTACAGACAGGAAGAGAGAGTCAGTATTACTATCAGCTGAGATCATTATTCCAGCATGACTAATTTGCTAAATATGCAATCACATGCGAGATATCATTCACACTAAGATCATATTCATTATGCACAGAAAGAAAGATAGCTAGATCTAGAAATTCAAAAATGCATTAATGGAAACTGCTCATCAAATATGCCATATATTCTGAAAAAAAAAATATTATCGTGCATAGCAGTCATCCACTGGCTATCTATCATGCAAACTGCAACATGGATTAATATTTTCTGTCATTTTTTCTCATGCAGCGGGCAGTTGCCATGGATATTCATCCAATAGTTTCTCTGTACCTCTCTCCGAGAGGAGTTTCTCCATGTGAGCTTCAAATATTGTGAAATCTGCGTAGAGACTGAAGCGCCCCCCATAACTGGACACAATCGCTGCAATCTGAAGATTGAAAATGTACCCACGAATCTTAATCATTGCCAGCCTTGAATACTAACATCATTCCCGAGCTTGTCAGCTTTAAATCATAACAATGAGTAATTGCGGCATCTCTTAAACAATGGCTGTGCAATTGTCATTGGCCGCCATAAATTCAGTCAATGAAAATGAATCGTAATAACCATCTTGACTAGGCTTAACCACAGTCTGGATCAAAATAATCATGTACAAGAATTTCATTTATGGTTTGTGTAGGACAAAATCATATTTTCTGTATATTTCCCAATTTTGAACCTCTCTTTTGGATAACTGCTACACATGGTTGACAGAAAGTAAAATGAAACGCACTTAAAACGTTGAAACATACACTTCTTGTATATACGAGGAAGAGCTTCTGCTGTAGCTGGAAGTTTAACTCACAAGATAACAGAGACGCACATTAAATATATCACACATAAAGCACTGCAACAACACAGCTTCATTATTTAGGTCAAATTCACAATGAAAATCACATCAGCTTTATGCAGTTTGAAACATGGACTGGATTTACGCTTTTGTCTGAATTAATTCTAGACAGGTTACGTATTTCTAGGGGCAGTGGGGTAACCTAGTGGTTAAAGCTTTAGCTCGTCACACAGAAGGTCCAAGTTGGATTCCCCACATGGGTACAATAATATTAATGTGTGAAGTCCATTTCTGGTGTCAACCCCCCCTACCCCCCCCCACCGTGATGCAATACAAGTCCTGTTCTCTTCTTTTGACCTGTTACACGGTTGCATTGGGCAATATACCAGTGTTAAGGCAGCAGCTAGAAGATAGTCGAGTCTGGAGGAGACAAACCAGCATCTGATACAAGCAAAGCCATATTTCAGCTAAATGACAGAGGTCTGGACCTGACAATACAGTGATTATTGGAGCGGTGTTAACATAAGCTGTAAAGCTTGTTCACCAGTTCCAATTCATTTTCAAGAACAAAACTATGTTTAAACCATATCTAGACCAGACAATGCAGTGATTGACATGATAAGCATCAGTCTATGAGTTTGGTTTTACGCCGCGTTTAGCAATATTCCAGCAACATCACTGCAGGGGACACCAGAAATGGGCTTCACACATTGTACCCATGTGGGGATTCGAACCCGGGTCTTCAGCGTGACGAGCCAACACTTTAACTATTAGGCTACCCCACCGCCCCACATCAATCTATGATACAATGTATAAACCAAGCAAATGAGCTTCCCCTTCCAATCACATTAGTTGCCTAATAGGTTGCAGAAGACCTTTTCAAACCAGGATTTCCATGATACAAGAAGCCAAATAGTAAAAAAACATAAAGCAAGATAAAAATAGAATGACATCCCTGAAGCCAGGTGATGAAGTAACAGTGTTTCTTACATTTGCCCATTCCTCGCTCTCGTCTATATTGCCGTCATCCCCACTTTTGTGTCCATTCGTGTTCTCGGCGGCAGCGTTGTTCTTCAAGGCATCGTCGAGACCTGCGAGAACTGCATCGGCGTCGATGTTGTCCTTATCCTCCTCTTTCTCCATGACGGGGTCGAAGCTGAGGAAGGACGACGGGGTGGACTGGCGTTTTGTTTTGATCTGCCGAACTACGTCACTTTCACATATTTGGGACACCACATTTCGTGGCCCTCCAGGAGTGGATCCACGCAACAGGCCTGTAACAAAGAATTTTCAATTTAAAAACAATACACAAATGTAAAATCAATACACAGAATTAAAATCAACTAAATAAAAAATAACATTATCATACATAAGAAAATAAAACTAAAAAAATAATAACAATTTCCAAATAACCATTTTAAATTCCGTTTCAAATAAACATACATCATAATGTTGTCTTTAAAGAACAATCAATTACAAGATGCAACAATGTTTGAAGCTGTGAATGATCGCCACATACCACAGACACAGCTGATCAGACACTGAGAGGAAAAGCAGCTCATGTATACATATATTCAATACTGTAAACAGAATCTGGGATGAAGACTCTCGATCAAACACTCATTAGTGTATTGCCCTGGAGCAGGGAGATCATGTGTACATGTAGACAGCTGAATCTCTTTACACCTCACAGGACAAAGATTTGACATTAGGCTGCTTCTGCTTGTACACAGACTCATCCCTGTACAATCATCATGACATCATCCGTAGTGTAATCTACCTCCTGTGACCACCTCCTTCCACCATTCCTAGTCTGCTGACATCACTTAATCCATTGCTCTTAAATATTATGAATGCTGACTGATATTCTTCAGATATATAGTGCAGTATTTGAAATTAAGGGAATCCAAGAGGTTTGAGCAAATGTTATTGAATGGAGACACTCTTAACCTTCTAATTCTGCACTGAATGATACGTTCTTGGTTGTACAGTATTTATATCCTTTGTTCGCCTGTTTTATTCTCTGTCTCAGTATATCACTTTTCACATCATAACAAAGGTAGCTTCTTGTGATGAACGTGGCACATGAGCGTTACATGCTGATCCAGTAGACTAAGGATGTATCTGAACACTTCACGTCAATGATACTCTCATTAAACTTTTTCACATGTACACAAACATCCTCAGAACACAGGGCTGCTACTGTGCTGGACGGGTCAGTGAGTTGGGTGTCAGATATAACAGTCTCCATATATACCCCCCCCACACACACACACACCCCGGTACTCTACCCTGGTGTTCATGCCATCGACCACTGTTTGACTGGACAAAACTGAGGTATTTTACATAATGAGTGAGCACTGCAGTGCAAAATAACACTAAATAAATGTAATAATCTCATATAATACTTGGGCTACCTGACAACACTATTCCTTTCAAATCCACTGCTTCCGGCTATCTCCCTCCTTATCTCTTATTCCACAACTCTCCGCTAGTTATTACAACACTCAAGTCCACAGCTTCCAGTGACAATACTATTTCATTCAAGTCCACAGTATCTAGCTCACTAACTCCTCTTGACTCATTCCTCATTGACTCTTCTGTAAACTCTATCTGGCTACCTGACAACACAATTCCAAGCAACCCCCCTACATCTAGCGCCCTCCCTTCATTTCCATGTTCATCCCTAGAACTCTACCTTATAACCTGAGCACTCTGCATCTTGCTGGCTGGTGCCACGGCAGGCTCACACCCTGTGGGACACTCTGACAGACATGGCAATCATATCTTCATGTTCACCTCAGTCATGGAACTGAGCTTGTATAAAACCTCCAGCCCCAGCCAGCTGTTGCTATCTGAGATATCTCTCTCTCAAGTCCTATCACTGGCTCCTGCATCACTCACACTCCGATACTTTCATGATGAAAGACGCCACTTGGAATCTAGGGCTGTGGAACTAGTAAAGGAGTTTTTAAAAACCAACATGCCCCCATTTACCCCAACTGCATGACTCACTGTACAACTGCTTGCTATACTATTTTCCAGTATTGAGTTTTGTTTGTTGTTTGGTGCCATCCTTTACATCATTCCAAATCCACGCTCAGTAAAAGGTTTGGACCAGAATAACCAGTGACTGATATCATGAACAACAGACCATCCTCTCAGAGTGACTGACTGACTGAGTTTGGTTTTTACGCCGCTTTTAGCAATATTCCAGCAACATCATGGCAGGGAACACCAGAAATGGGCTTCACACATTGTACCCATGTGGGGATTCGAACCCGGGTCTTCGGCGTGACGAGCCAACGCTTTAACCATTAGGCTACCCCACACCACCCCTCTCAGAGTGACATGTCATGATTCAAGTCATCAAACCCAAACACCATATGCTTTAAGAGTTAACAGGGCCTATCCTTACCCAGAATTCCCACTGAGGCCACAACGTAGAGTGCCACTGAGTGCAATGATTGTCAACAATCCAATATGGCTACTTACAGCTATACTAGAGCTCTGGGATCTTGATGCAGGAAGAACATGATCAACATGGTGTAATCCCTGCTCATATTCTCTTTCCTTCCTTATCCATAGACAGGAGTGTGCAAAATACCAACTCCCTAGGACAAGATCATGTCAGAACATTCCTACTATGACCCAAGTCAATATACCCATAGGTATAGTCAGTCAATATTGAAAGATTTAGCATTCTGTTGAAGTATTCATCAGACAACCATCATCTGTACCAGGTTTGTATCAAAGTATTCACCTGTCATGTAAACCAGTGTGATGAAGCTGTATTCACCAGTCTATCATACACTTCAGTAATATTCATGTATTCACCCGCCGACCAGTATATACCCCGCCGACCATCATATACACAGGTAATATTGAAGCATAAATGCCAGCCCACCATCATCTATAGCCAGGTAATACAAAAGTATATTCACTAGCTCAGCATCATCTATAGCCAGGTAATACCGAAGTGTATTCACCAGCCTAACATCATCTATAGCCAGGTAATACTGAAGTATATTCACCAGCCTAACATCATCTATAGCCAGGTAATACTGAAGTGTATTCACCAGCCTAACATCATCTATAGCCAGGTAATACTGAAGTATATTCACCAGTCTACCATCATCTATAGCCAGGTAATACTGAAGTATATTCACCAGCCTACCATCATCTATAGCCAGGTAATACTGAAGTATATTCACCAGCCTACCATCATCTATAGCCAGGTAATACCGAAGTGTATTCACAAGCCTAACATCCTCTATAGCCAGGTAATACTGAAGTATATTCACCAGTCTACCATCATCTATAGCCAGGTAATACTGAAGTATATTCACCAGCCTACCATCATCTATAGCCAGGTAATACTGAAGTATATTCACCAGCCTACCATCATCTATAGCCAGGTAATACTGAAGTATATTCACCAGTCTACCATCATCTATAGCCAGGTAATACTGAAGTATATTCACCAGCCTACCATCATCTATAGCCAGGTAATACTGAAGTATATTCACCAGCCTACCATCATCTATAGCCAGGTAATACTGAAGTATATTCACCAGCCTACCATCATCTATAGCCAGGTAATAGCCTCAAGTGTATTCACAAGCCTAACATCCTCTATAGCCAGGTAATACAGAAGTATATTCACCAGCCTAACATCATCTATAGCCAGGTAATACTGAAGTATATTCACCAGCCTAACATCATCTATAGCCAGGTAATACCGAAGTGTATTCACAAGCCTAACATCCTCTATAGCCAGGTATTACTGAAGTATATTCACCAGCCTAACATCATCTATAGCCAGGTAATACTGAAGTATATTCACCAGCCTAACATCATCTATAGCCAGGTAATACTGAAGTATATTCACCAGCCTAACATCATCTATAGCCAGGTAATACTGAAGTATATTCACCAGCCTAACATCATCTATAGCCAGGTAATACTGAAGTGTATTCACCAGCCTAACATCATCTATAGCCAGGTATTACCGATGTATATTCACCAGCCTAACATCGTCTATAGCCAGGTAATACAGAAGTATATTCACCAGTTCAGCATCATCCATAGCCAGGTAATACTGAAGTATATTCACCAGCCTACAATCATCTATAGCCAGGTAATACTGAAGTATATTCACCAGTCTACCATCATCTATAACCAGGTGATACTGAAGTATATTCACAAGCCCATCATCATCTATAGCCAGGTAATACTGAAGTATATTCACCAGTCTACCATCATCTATGGTAGGGGAATACAGAAGTATATTCACCAGCCTAACATCATCTATAGCCAGGTAATAAAGAAGTATATTCACCAGTCTACCACCATATACATATATAACATGCAGCTCATGGAAGCTACTGACACAATCTAAGCCTGATCCATGCCCACAATAACCCCTACATCAGACACAATCTGAATCTGCTTCCTCCCTCTTCTCCACTTCAACACCAGTATCTCCTGAACCATCTCTGACATGTTTGTGGTTGGCCGCTACTCTTGTTTTTACATGGTGTAGCTTTCCACAAGCATCTGTCAAGTCACTTTCCACTACACTTGAGTCCTGTGATCTCCCTCAGCCAGTAACTGTTTCCTCCTGGTCGTGCAGGTCTCCCCACAGGAACATCAAAGGAACACATGCTCTCGCAGCGTTCATCCTGGGCGACACACTCAAACATCGGTCTTACATATTAACCAGCACATCTACTCTTAGTCAATCAGCTCACTGGATGAGTCTGTGTCTGCATAATTGGTTGAGAGGGACAAGTTACAACCCATCGACTCTTCACAAACTTAGCTACTTCAGAACAGCCCTGCTCCGTCTTTAATCTTCTAAGTTTAAACGAAACGTTTATCTGAGCAGATTTTGAACTCGAATTAGAATTTTAACAGTTTATTGGTTACTGAAAAGGTGTCAACCATCAGCCTTTATATAATGTAAGGACAAGCTACATGTCAACTCCACAATACCAATCTGTGGAAGTGATAGCTCCTTGTACTGTTTATCCAGATCACCTTCTTACAGTTCGGAAATATCTATTTTTCTATGCGTTCGAAAATATCTATTTTTCTATGCGTTCGGAAATATCTATTTTTCTATGCGTTCGGAAATATCTACTTTTCTATGTGTTCGGAAATATCTATTTTTCTATGTGTTCGGAAATATCTATTTTTCTATGCGTTCGGAAATATCTATTTTTCTATGCGTTCGGAAATATCTATTTTTCTATGCCACTTCAGAAATAAA